TAGCAAAGGTAACACCTTTTTCAAGTAGGTGTTGGACAGTCACATCAGCCGGTGGGGTTTTCCTCACTCTTGGAAGTCTCATTGCTGCTCAGTTTGGGGCTTTCACTGTAGTATACCGCGCTGCCATCTGCAAAGGCTGCGTAACGTCACACCAGTGAAATCGGATACACAGGTCACACCTCGCTGCGGTCATACCTGTCACAATGCGCTGCATGACGTAACACTGTGCTGTCTGTGAAGGTGTATGCTGTTTGTGTGAACTTACCATGTGAGATCCTGCGCCAGATGTAAACCTAGGAAACGGAAGCTGTTCCCTCTTTACACAGCAGTGCCGTTGATGGTGATTGGGGTATGTGCTCTTCTACACCTCCAGAAGTCCACCATCATTTCTTCTGGTTTTGTAATATTGAGGGTGAGTTGTAGTCTTAGCACTGGAGTAAAAAGGCACTGACATCCTCCTTGTAAACTGTCACCCACCATTGCTGTGTCATTCGCAAACTTGAGAATGAAATTGTAGATTCTAGTGGCCGTGCAGGCGTAGGTGTAGAGTGAGGACAGGAGAGAGTTCAGTATACGCCCAGTTCACACTGCGCTGCCGTCATACCCGTCACACCAGTTGCACCTTGCTGCTGTCTGCGAAGATTGTATGACATCACATCAGTCACACAGATTAGAAATGCGCTGCCGTCACACCGGTCACACTGCCCGTCATGCAGTGCTGCCTGCGCGGTTTAGTTGGCAGCGCGGCTTAACGGGTATCACGGTTTCATGGGTAGAGCGTTTTCATGGGCAGCATGGTTTCACAGGTACCGCAGTGTCAAGGGTAGCGCAGTGTCACTCCCGTCAAACTGTGCTGTCTATGAAGGGGTATGTTGTTCGTGTGAACTGACCATGTGAGATCCTCCGCCAGATGTACAGCTAGGAAACGGAAGCTGTTCTCTCGTTCCACAGCACATCGGGGTATGTGCTTTACAACACCTCTAGAAGTCCACGATCATCTCTTCTGTTTTTGTGACATTGAGGGTGAGATGGTTCTCTTAGCAATAAAGTTTAAAGGCACTGAGATCCTCCTTGTAACCGTCACCAACCACTGTTGTGTCATCCGCAAACTTCACAATGAATTAGGAGATATTAGTGGCCGTGCAGTCGTGGGTGTAGAGTGAGTACATGAGAGTTCAGTATCCACCCCTGACGTAACACCAAGCTACCATCTGCGAAGGGTGCATGACATTGCTGCTGTCACACCAGTCACATCCGGGATTAACCTTTGGTGATAAGACCTACCATTGTTGTATGGTCCGCAAACTTGACAATGAAATTGGAGATACTAGTGGCCGTGCAGTCGTAGGTGTAGAGTGAGGAAAGGAGAGACTGCGCACTGCCCTCTGCGAAAGCTTCTTGACATCACACCAGTCACACCGCGCTGCCATTACCCCGGTTACACCCATCACACTGCGCTCCGTGACGTAACACTGTGCTGTCTATGAAGGCGTATGCTATTTGTGTGAACTGACCATGTGTTCACACCGTTCACACCAGTGACCCAGTTCACACCGCGCTGCCGTTACACCCGTCACACCAGTCACACCAGTCACACCTTGATGCCGTCTGCGAAAATTGTATGACATCACATCAGTCACACAGATTATAAATGTGCTGCCGTCACACCGGTCACACTGCCCGTCACGCAGAACGCAATGAATGAATAATGGCATTGTAAAGCGCTTTGGGTGCCTTGAAAAGCGCTATATAAATCCAATCCATTATTATTATTATTATTGGCAGCGTAGATTAACGGGTATCACGGTTTCATGGGTAGAGCGTTTTCATGGGCAGCATGGTTTCACGGGTAGCGCAGTTTGTCACTCCCGTCAAACTGTGCTGTCTATGAAGGGGTATGTTGTTCGTGTGAACTGACCATGTGAGATCCTCCACCAGATGTACAGCTAGGAAACGGAAGCTGTTCACTCTTTCCACAGCAACGCCATTGATGGTGATCGGGGTATCTGCTTTAATACACCTCTAGAAGTCCACTATCATCTCTTCTGTTTTTGTAACATTGAGGTTGAGATGGTTCTCTTAGCAATAAAGTTTAATAAAAACAAAAAAATTAATAAATTACTAACATTTTTTTTAAACTTTCTTTGTAATCATAATAGGACCATAAATCCTCCTATTACATCTCTTTTCACTATGTTTTGTCTTTTTAAGTTTAATGAATAAAGAATGCCCATTTTCACCATGAATGGAAATGTAATTTAAAAGAACTGATTGCAAATATCTAAATAAATATCTAAAATGCAAAATTTGATCATACATGGGAAAGTAGTTCCTTGTTTTACATGTCCTGTAATGTAACATTAGAAAACAAACAAACAAAAAGTCTGTAGGATCCTTTAAATCACAATTGGAACATATAGTACTCAGGAAGTTATAATACGCACACTACAAAAGCAATATAAGCGATATGTAAAATATGTATATTTTACAGCATGTTTCTAGAAGAGTATGCCTGTGTGTTAAATAAAAGCAATATTGAGTAATGTGCTAGTCATTTAAATGTTTGAATAGCAAACAAATACAAATCCATACAAATGCAACACATTCCAAACACACACACACACACACACACACACACACACACACACACACACACACACACACACAGGTGATATGGCCCTAAAAAAATTGTAGAGAGGCTGTTAACTACCCAATGTCTTGCATATTAACAGGGGAAAAAGTGTAGTGTAGTTACACTCAAAAGCACTTTGTGAGTTTTCCAGCTCTGTGGAGGTAGAAGACAGGATAAGAGTCTCCAAACCAAATCATTAGAACATAACTTAAGGGCTTCCAGATACACAGTGTATCCCAAACTATGTTCCAAGACATGTAGGATATAGTAATCAGTGGTAAATGACCAATAACTGTAATCACCTGAAGAATCAAGATTATATTATTATTATAACTATATATATATAACTATATATATAACTATATATTATAATTATGTATAGCCCTTCTTTTGACTTGGATCTCTCCTCCCCACCATCCCCTGGTGAGGGCTGCTTCAGTGCTTTAAGAACTGATACATAGCAGAAAAAGCTGATACTAAAAACTACAAAGACACACTATACATGAATGCGCATCACTATACGATTGCAAAAGAACATTTGAACCACAGCAATAAAGATGCTATTTAGCCAGAAAAAACAATTAAAGCTCATCCTGTATCTCAAGGGTTTATACCTAAGATACAACACAG